CAAACACACACACCCCACCCTGTTTTAGGATGAAAGGGCTCTTGATGAATATGCACTGTGATTTCAAAGTGTGTTTTCCTGCAGCAGCAGCGATGACAACAACAACAAAGCCTTTGGGGAGGGGAGCCCTGGCTTTTCTGGCTGGCTCACATGGTGAAGTCTCAGGGGTTTTGGAAGCCCCCTCGCTATCTGCGGCGCCACTTAGCCGACAGAACAGGATGAGGCGGTTAGCTAGAGGATCAGCAGCTTAACCCCTTCTAACTTACACAGAGCAAGAGAGAGAGAGAGAGAGAGAGAGAGAGAGAGAGAGAGAGAGGCTGCGAGGGATGAAAGTGACTTAAAAGGAACAACAACCTCCTGAATGGTGCCCAGAAAAAAGAAGAAGAAAGAAGGACTCACATGCTAAAAGCAAAATTTAAACCAATCCCACTGGCTTCTAAAGGACTTCCTCGTCAAACAGTCTGAAATCAGGAGCCTGGTCCCACTCCCGGGGCGAAGAAAGAACTCTTTGCTGGGGCATAGCCTTCAACACTTCTCAAGCGAAAACAGGGATCTGGCTGTAACTCATTGATGTCAGACTCTATTTCCCATCAGCTGTTGGGAGTCCCATTGTTGTTGGACGCTGGTCCCCATCAGCCTCGGCCAGCATAGCCAGTGGTCAGGGATGATGGGAGTTGTAGTCCAGCTTCATATGGAAGGCCTGCAGGATCCCCGGTCATGTTGTAGTGCCCTGTAACATAGGACAGAAGCCTGGTGCTGAAAACAGGGTTCTAATGAGCACCAGCCCCGGCTCAAATCAAGTTGTGGCACAGGGTGACGGAGGGCAGCAGAATGCATAGCATGTCAGCAGCAGGGCATTCATTTACTCTCATGCAGAACTCTTCTGGAAAAAACCTCTGAAGGTACTAGGTAACTGAGCAAATCTTTACTTCCAATGAAGGAGGCAATGCTTTGTGACCTTCCGCTGATTAATAAAAGCTCATTAAGAAATTGAGGAGAAGGGTTCAGGATGGGATCTATCCATCTATAAATCTTAGGTATTTGACTGGCCGGCTCTACTGTTCAGCAGAGAGGGGCAACCACCTTGAGCACCTGATTTAGGGTGCTTCTGCCTCAGGTATCAGAATAACTTTGCTGGGCTCTGATACTGTGTACTTTGGGTGATAGTCAATGCTAATCCTAGTCAGAGTAGATCAGCCTTTCTCAGCCTTGGGTCCCCTGATTTTGTTGGACTACAACTCCCATCATCCCTAGCGAGCAGGACCAGTGGTCATAGATGATGGGAGTTGTAGTCCAACACCATTTGGGGACCCAAGATTGAGAAAGGCTGCAGTAGAGCTATCGAAGTTAATAAACACAACCAATATAGGTCCATTAATTTTAATGGGCATAACTGATTAGGACCATAGACTTGGATGGGGGCAAAGAGAGGTACCATTTGCTGCCCCTCTTGGGCTGCCCCTGGATGTTTGATTCCCCTCTGTTCAATCTTTAATGCTTTAAATTCATGAGAAGGAAGAAAGCCTATGTCCAGTGTTTATGGGATGGCTTGTGCACTGGGGTTTATATCTGTGGCCTGTTGCCATAAGTGTTTTGTACAGCTCAGCGACTTTTATGAGCTGTGGTTGGTAAATTTTGGAGAACTGTGTTCCAGGCCCCAGAAATTCTGCATGGCTTAATTTTAGTAAGTCTAATGAAGGGCCTTTGTCCCCCAGAGAGTGAGGCAGGCCTGTTTATGAAAGCACAAGATATTACATAAGGCATTGGAGTACATTGCTCTATGCACCCCAGGCTTTTGTCGTTCTTCAGACATGCTTCAGTTAGGTCAAGGGACAGACTACCACATGGAAAACTATACTTCCCATGCTCTGTTGATGTACTGAGCTGGAGGGGCAACACATTACAGTGGTACCTCAGGTTAAGAACTTAATTTCTTCTGGAGGTCCGTTCTTAACCTGAAACTGTTCTTAACCTGTTCTTAACCACTTTAGCTAATGGGGCCTCCCGCCGTGCCGCGCGATTTCCGTTCTCATCCTGAAGCAAAGTTCTTAACCCGAGGTACTATTTCTGGGTTAGTGGAGCCTTTAACCTGAAGCGTCTGTAACCTGAAGCGTCTGTAACCTGAGGTACCACTGTATTCTCCATTGGATTTTTGCCTCTCTGCTATCTAGTCTTGACCAAAGGGGTGGCATTACCAGACTTCATCATCATATGATTCCATATATGAATTTGTCCAGTTTGTCATGGTTTGCTGTGTTGCAAATAAAGTGCCATCCCAGCCCTAGAAGAAATTCTCCCGCTTAGGATGTCGAGTGAGATTTTGCACAGGTGTGTAGTCCTTGTTCAGAAGCTGGGCAGACCTTCTTTCACTAGCTCCCACAGGACGCAGTGATGACAACTAACTTGGATGATTTTAAAAGAGGATTAGAGAAATTCATGGAGAAGGCTATCGATGAATTCTAGCCACAACAACTATGTTTCTGAATACCAGCTGCTGGAAACTGCAGGAGGGGAGAGAGAGCTCTTACGCTTAGCTCCTGTTTGCAGGTTTTCCACAGGCACCTGGTTGGCCACTGTGAGAACATGATGCTGGACTAGATGGGACAGCTCTTCTCATCTTATATTAACTGCTTACTTCTGATAAAGCTCTTGCTGCTTTTTGCGAATTACATGACCAGACCACCAGTCTTTTGCTTTGGTGAGTTTTTTCTCTCTCTGCTATGAGTCAAATCATTTCCCATGATTATTTATTGCAAATGTTTGTTGTTGTTGCCCAGTGTCGAAATCTGAAACCCACTCTTGTCCCCAGGTTTGTTTGTTTGGGGGAGAAAAGTTGCATTTGCCATCATGTGGGTGGAAAACCAACCTAACTCTCCTAGGGAGAAATGCAATGTTTATTTATTTACTGCATTTATATCTTTTTTCTCTGCAAGGAGCTCAAGAGCTTGTTCTCCTCCTCATTTTATCCCGCAACATTTCTGTGAGGTAGGCAAGAGGCAGTGACTGGCTCAAGGTCACAATGGGCATTCAAAGTGTCTAATAATAATAATAATAATAATAATAATTTATTTATACCCCGCCCATCTGGCTGAGTCTCCCCAGCCACTCTGGGCGGCATCCAATCAAATGTTAAAAACAGTACAGCATTAAATATTAAAAACTTCCCTAAACAGGGCTGCCTTCAGATGTCTTTTAAAGATAGGATAATTGCTTATTTCCTTCACATCTGAAGGGAGGGTGTTCCACAGGGTGGGCGCCACTACCGAGAAGGCCCTCTGTCTGGTTCCCTGTAACCTCGCAATGAGGGAACCGCCAGAAGGCCCTCGGCGCTGGATCTCAGTTTCTGGGCTGAACGATGGGGGTGGAGACGCTCCTTCAGGTATACAGGACCAAGGCCGTTTAGGGCTTTAAAGGTTCATTCCATAGAGTCAATATAAACAAGTCCCCCTGTTCATTCTACTCTGAGGGGGGCAGGAGCATAAACAAGCCCTGGACAATAATAATTTAAAAAAGCCCCACTGGACATCTGCTTTGGGATGCAATGGAGGCAGAGAAGTGGTCCTTCTTTGACATCCACACTCCTGTGCAGTAAGCAGGATGATGTTGCTTCACCCAGGCTTGGTCAGCTTTGCAATGTGCCTTTTGCCACTTGCGCTCTAGCTGTTGTCTGGCCTGTTTCATTGCCCTCTTGTATACCAAAGTGCAGAATGGGCACCACATGCCGGAGAGGGCGCTTGGGAGCAACTGGGTCAAGAGCCCAACATGTTTCACTGTTTCACAGTGAGTGCTTTTAGCTTTTCCTTCCATGATGTGCCATCATGGTTCTGTACAGATGGATGATATTATTATTATTATTATTATTATTATTATTATTATTATTATTATCATACATTAAAATGGAGCATTATGCAATCTAGTTGTTCTCTATTGATTTAAGCAACCTCAATGATCTGAAATAAGATGCTGCCATTATGGGACCAGGCAGAATCTGGGTTTGGAGCCTAAGGCAGGTGGAGCTTCCCTCTGCTCACAAGTCTTACAACATGTGCAAGAACATAAGAAGAGCTCTGAAGGATCAGACCAGTGGGGTCAGTCAGATGCCCATAGGAAGGCCACAAGCTGGACATGAATGCAGCAGCAGTCGCTCCAGCTATTGGTATTCAGAAGCTTTTGATGCTGGAGGTACTGTACAGCCATCATCACTTTAAAGGGGGATTAGACACTGAGATGGGTGGCTCATCTATGTGCGCCTGCAAGTGTGACCTCATCAGGATGTGCCACCTGGAGGCGGGGCAAGCCGAACCCAGAAGCGAGAGTGTTGAGGCAGGAAGTTCTTCCCGGAGATGCAACTGGTTCTTTATCCTTGTTAACTGCTTAGAAGTCCATTTTGGCATCAAGCGGTATATAATTTTAAGTGAGAACTGTAAGATCGTTAAGCCCAAGAGTCTACATAAAACTACTTCAGTGCAGTACTGGAAGAAGGCGTCCCTTTTAGGTTGGGGCAAAACTGAAGGGCACCCTACTGACTGTGTGCAAACACCTGGGATTTGACAGGATCGGGATGAGACAGCCTCAGGTTGTCCTGGGTCAGGTCAGCCCAACCCAAATGATCTGGGGCCATCAAAAGATGGAGTGGCTGGGCAGTGGGGTCGGGGAGGAGAGGCAGAAGCAGCCTCTGTAGGGTTTGCCTCACCAGTGTACTCTCTGCAGGGAACAAGTTGACAAAGCAGCAGCCAGCAGGAATAAATTCTCTGCCCATTACCTGGTGAGAGGAAGTTTCAAACCAGTTCAATGCGCGCTCTCTCTCTCTCTCTCTCTCTCTCTCTCTCTCTCAGCAGTCCCTGGCATACTGCTCTCTTAAGGTTGTGTTCTTGGGCCACAAACCACCGAAGTTGCTTTCTGCAAAGACTTGCCCGCCCCTCAGGCAAAGGATGTACATGTATCATAGACCTTGCTTCTGCCAACAGTTCTGAAACAGCCTGCATTATGTACCTGTGCCTGCCCATCATCATAATAGCTCAGTCGGTAGAGCATGAGACTCTTCATCTCAAGGTTGTGGGTTTGAGCCCCACATTGGGCAAAAGATTATCGCATTGCAGGGGGTTGAACCAGATGGGCCTTGTTGCTCCTTCCAACTCTACCAATTCTGTGATTCTATGTCCACAGGCCTATTCCACACCAGCTTTGCTTCGTGATCCATCTGCCCTTGCTCAGGTATTTCCCCTTGCAGAATGCCACCTCCGTGCCCCATCTCCAGCTACACCTGCTGAAGAGCTGCCCTCCTCACCCACTGAGGGTGCCGAGGGGGCCAGGGATGTCTAGGTCTAGTCTCCATTTTTATGTGGGTTTTTGCTTAGACCAATGAGAAAAAGGAGTAGCTGAGAGAAAGGGGGCAACCCACACCCCAGCCCCAGTTTGGCCCTGGCACCACCCACTTTTGACTCCGGCTGCCCACTGCTGGTATGCAGCCCCAGACAGATTATCCCCAGGGAATGTATCTCTCAACAGAAAGTGGGGGCAGGGAGAAAGTGGAGAAGAAGGAAAAAAACCTTGCTCCTCCAGAGAGGAGCTGCGGAGTGGGCTTCTCATCCCTGGGAGAAATCTGCCATCTCGTGGCAGAAAGCTAAATTGCACTGAAATGGGGAAAACCCAAACTGCACTGAGATGGGGACGTCCTCTTAGCGTGTAGCACCCAGCTGTGCTTCGCTTTGAATGGCTGCTACCTCCTCCCACGTTCCACCTTAGGACTGTGACCAGGTGCAGACTCCATGGCTTCGCCATCACCCAGCTCTTCCTCCTATAGTTTTGTTTGCCATTTAGTTCTTGCTTTTGTAACCTGGTGCCCTCCAGGTTGTTTGGGACTGCAACTTCCATGAGCCCCAAGCGGCATGGTGATGCTGATAGGAGTCATAGTTTAAAGCAGCTGGAGGGCAATGAACTGGCAACAGGTGTTCTAGCCTTATGAAGAGTTCTGTGGAACTTGAAAGTTTTCGTGCCTATTTTGTGGCATTTTTGTTAGCCCTGGTAAAAGCATTGCACTAAGAAGGATTTTGGATTTTTTTTTTCCCTGATGGGCCAGGATGGTTACCTTTACATTTTAAGGAAATCTCTCTTTCTTGGAATTGCATTTCACACAATAGGCTTGCAGGATGCATGTCCACCATACACACAGGTCTTTTGCCAAGTAGTTTGTGATAGTGGTGATGGGAGGGGGAGAGAGAAAGGGTACCCTGAGTGAACCATTGTAAATCCATGTAATATGTCTTGTTATTGAGGGCCATGTGACTTGGGGGGTTGTGTTCTGTTCTGGTCTTGCAGAGGAGCCCGTAGGGCAAGGCTGCAGCACCATGGAGAGCTCCTGCTGAGCAACTTGCTCCAATAAGGGCTGGAGGTGGCTCTTTTAACCCCTCTGCCTCCAGTCCACCTTTACTAAACTGACTTCCACTTGTGCTGTGCCTAGAACGCATGGCTCCAAGCAATTTTCCAGCTGGCCCACACTTTGTAGGCATGGGTTTGAGCAGTTTTCCCCTTGCCCCACTCCTTTCCAAGGGAAAACCTGCTCTTTAGTGATAGATCAGAACAAATGGCAATCCGGGGAAAACCTGAATTGCCATTTGCTCTACTTAAGCGCTAAAGAGTGGTTTTCCTTGGGGGAAAGCAGTGGGACAAGAGGAAGAATAGTTCTTCCTGTGGAGAACTAGAGCAAGAGTGGGGAACCTTTGGTCCTCCAGATGTTGCTAACTCCAACTCCCATCATTCTTGGCCATTGACCATTCTTGCTGGGTATGATGCTAATTTTAGTTTAGCAACATCTGAAGGGCCAAAGGTTCCCCAGTAGTCTCTTAAGAGCCAACCTCTGGTGTGTAGATGGGTACTTCGCCTGTGTGTATGGCCTGGTGCACTCTATGTGCTGTTACACTGGCAAGGAACTGTGGGAATCACTTAGTTCCTTGGGCCCAAGGAAAGGATGACTTCTGGCTCTGGTTCAAAGGGTTCTGTGGCATCTGGTTCAGTGGGTCCCTGCCTGCTAGGGCTGGGCCAATGGCCCCCTACATCACCAGCATCAGGCTCAGAGCCAGGAACTTGGTCCGGCTCCTTAGCTGGTAGGACCAGAGCTTCTGATTCAGTGTCCTTGGCTTTGCTGAAATTTGGGGTCCTGACAGGTTGATGTAGCCAGGCACATGTGGTGCTAAATAATGATTCCCCTGCATGGGCTGAGAAATCAGAATCTTGCTGAATACAAGCAGGCAAGAAACAGCTTTCTTCAAAGTCAGATAGAAGTGTATAAGATAGTGCATAACATGGAGAAAGCAGATAGAGAAAATTTCCTCTCCCTGTCCCATAGCACTAGAACTCAGGACCTCCAATGAGTCGGTGTCAACAGGATGGTGTGCTAGATGGACCAACACTCCGATTTGGTATGAGGTAGCTTTCTATGTTCCTATATTCCATCCTATTTGTGGGCAAAGAAATTGTGTGTAGGGGGGAATCGTTTTACAAAAATTTCTCCAAGGAGAGGTGAAATTGTCATGCAGACTCTCAGGAGTGGAGCTTATTATTAGCAGGAACACTGTTTCTTCCTTTTCCTATATATCTATATCTATATCTATATCTATATCTATATCTATATCTATCTATCTATCTATCTATCTATCGTGGGGGTGGGTGAGAAAAAGCTTGATTTTATTCCTGCCCCCTTAAGTTGCAATTCTGCTATCTTTTTCTTCTTCTTCTATGATTGATTATTAATTTATTGTACTTTATTGAAGTTATCTTGCTTGCTGCTTATGCCTTTGTGTCATTAATCTGCCATTCACTGACTTGGTGGCATGTGGGATGAAATGTAAGTAAATGCCACAAATTGTTCACATCCGCTGGATCTGTGGTGTAGGCACAAAAGGGAGTGGGATGGTGTTGGCCACATTTCCTCCTAGTGAAAGGACACAACCATTCTGAAAACAAGTCCCCATGAACTCCTTGGTAGTGTATAAGCAGCTGGCATTCAGCTCCAAGCACCATATCCCTGGGGCACCCTGATGCATATATATATGTCTGTGTTGGACTGATCAGGAGCCAAGATGATCTGAAGATGCTCTCTCCCCCTCTCTGTCTCTCTTTCTCCATGACCTCTTTGCAGATGTGAAATCTGAGACCGGATAGTGTTTGGCAAGCAGTCGTTGAGGAGAGAGAGTCCAACAGTACATATCTGTTTGGGGACATCATGGAACGAGGTCATACGCTTCTCCCGGTCCTTCCTTCTTTATGCTGCTGAAAGAGCAAATATGAGGATGAAAGCAAACCGATGCTGCAGCGAAATGGCTTGAAGCACTTGGGTGAACATCAGAAGCAAGGCTGGCCCAAGAGATGTTGCAAAAGGTGCCCCCTCAGTCAAGATATCATGCATGTGGGGAGTGCTGGAAACTGTACTTTGTTAAGGGTGCTGGGAAACGTAACTGTGTGTGCTAAACTGCAGTTCCTGGGATTGTTTGGGAGAAGCCATGCATTTTGAATGTATGGTGTAGATTTGACCTCTGTGACTATTAAGCATGCTCAGTCCTCAATTGGCTGCTTTGCTGTTGGCGAAGGTGCCTCCTTAGGCTCCCCCAAGATTTCTCAACTTGGGTTCCATTTTTGTTAACACTCACTACCTGCACTGATTGTTAGAGGGAGCAATAGAGGATTTACAACATGGTAAAGGTAAAGGTACCCCTGACCATTAGGTCCAGTCGTGGCCGACTCTGGGGTTGCAGCGCTCATCTTGCTTTATTGGCCGAGGGAGCTGGCGTACAGCTTCCGGGTCATGTGGCCAGCATGACTAAGCCGCTTCTGGCGAACCAGAGCAGCTCACGGAAACGCTGTTTACCTTCCTGCCAGAGCGGTACCTATTTATCTACTTGCACTTTGATGTGCTTTTGAACTGCTAGGTTGGCAGGAGCAGGGACCGAGCAATGGGAGCTCACCCCATCACGGGGATTCAAACCGCCGACCTTCTGATCGGCAAGTCCTAGGCTCTGTGGTTTAACCCAGAGCGCCACCCGCGTCCCTTACAACATGGACATCCCTCCAAATAAATATATGTATTTGCCAGAGTTTGCTGGTATGTGATTGAATCTGATCCAAAAATAGTAGCTAAGACTGTGTGCTGAGAGCCCCTGGCTCAAATGTTGCCCCAATGGGTAGCCTTAGACAAGCCTGGTATCTCTTGACTTCTGCCCCCCCCACCTGCAATATTGGGATTTCAAATGTGGGTCTACCTTACAGGGTTGTTGTGCATGATTGAAGTGCCATAGCTCAGCAGCATAGCATCTGCATTGTACTGTATTCAGAAGGTCTCTGGTTCAATCCTTGGATGAGGTGGAAATGTCCCTAGCCTGAAACCTGAGAGAGGCACTGCATGTCAATGTAGACGATGTTGAGCTAGATGGACTAGTGACTTAGAATAAGGCCTCTTCCTATGTTCCAGTATCACTAAGATTCTGGGCACGAAGCATTTGGGGGATTGTTATTGTTATGTATTTCATGCATTTTATTTCTGCATTCTGAGCTGCCTTGGGAGGGCTTTGCCTTGGAAGGCACATAAAATAAATAAAACCAAAGTTAAAATAAACAAGGCTGAGCGGCATCTTTAACTGCCCTATTTCTGCTAAAAGAAACTCTTGGCACAACAGCAAGGGGAGGTGGATTTGCTGTAACGTAGAGGAAGCCGTTCCTGCCTCTGAACTCCTGCCTCTGCGTCTAAGCTTCTGAGCCCTTCTCCGTGTTTTAGGTGTTTGGAATTCATCAGCTTGTCTCAGTTGCTGGCAGAAAGGCAAAATGCATTCATAGGACATCACAGCTTGTACCTGCCGCGGGAGTCCAGCACAGCACACAGTGGGAGCTAATAAATGCTCCGTGCCAGTGTGTGAATCAATGAAACTCAAGTCTCCATTACTCTCACCTGTTCCTGGCCTCCTGTGCCAGTGTCTTGAAGAAAGACATCTTCAGTTGCCTGAAACAAACTGCCCTGCCTTGTCCTGGCCTGACACTGGCCGTGGAGTCATCAGAGGACGGAGCAGACACCCCTACAAATCAAGGACCTTGAGGAGCAGGCAGGGCCCCCTGAATCCAATGCTAAGGATCCCCTTAGGTTGATAACTGAAACTATCAGAGGCGGAGGTGGAGCCACTGGCTTCAGATTCAAGCCGAAGAGTGACGGCTCAGTACGGGTCGAGGAACCAAGAGTTGTTGGTCTACTTGTGAGAAAGAGGTCTGCTTGTAAGCAATTCCTGATACTCCCAGCAACTGTTTTTGGGGTGTGATTAGTTAATAACTTCCCAGTGTGCTGGAAATGACACATCTCTTTCTCTCTTAAGGCTGCCAGGATAGCCAATGGTCAGGGACAGTGGGCATTGGTGTTGAAACCGTGTGGCATTCTAGATTTGGTTCCACACCCTGGTGTTGTTCCACCCTTGGTCTCCTGTGGCAAAACAGGTATGGAGTCCTTAAAGTTTACGTAACTTTTTGCAAGATCTTCTTTTGCAACAAGAGCTAGGCAGTGGCTTACAAATTCCCTTGTTACAAGAAATGAGTTCTTGTGCCAAAAAGCACAACTGGGGCATCTTTTCCGCTATTTCTACCATATATGAATGTTGCTTGGAATTTGGAAGAGAAATTGAACATGTACTAAAGTAGACAAAAAATCCTCCTCCTCACCCCTATTTGGGTTTTGGGTTTGTTTGTTTGTTTGTTTGTTTGTTTGTTTGTTTGTTTAGCATCCAGCCTGATGGGGAGGAGGGCGGAACTGTTTAAAACCCTATTTGTGTGAGAAATCTCTTTTGCCTTCAAAGAGTGGCTGATAAATTTCAGCCCAAATCCTGCTGCCTGCAGAGCGGCAGAGACATCTAGTGGCCAAAATGCTTATTTCTACCCAAGTAACGCTTTCTTTACTCCAGGGATGGGGAACCCTTTGGCCCTCCAGACGTTCTCTCACCAACCTTAGTGGCCAGTGGCCAAGAATGTTGAGGGCTGTGCTCTGGAGGGTCACAGGCTAACCACCCTGCTCAGATCAGTCTCACTGCTGTGCAGCAGCAAGTCTGAACCGTTGCTAGTGCTTTGTCCACCATTTCTTCGCAGCTCAACTCTTTTCATGTTTACTCATGTGCAAATTCATTGGCGTTCTATTGTGCTTACAATAGTAATCAGTGTAAAAAGGATACCAGCTTCTGATTTATAGGCCAGCCTTTTCCCTGGCAAACTATAGCAGCCAAGGACAATTCCAAACAATGCTACCTGTTACATCTGGGGAAATAAGCAAGAATTGCTCACGAAGGCTCGTAGAACACTTACTGAGAAGTGATATAGGAAACTTTGGGCTGTGCCCACACTAGCTCACTTCTGGATCAAAAATGTAGGGTTTGAGCCTGGAACCATCCATGCTCAACCATACTCAACGTTCTGCTTCCACTGTAATTGTTTCTAGATCCTGCCATCCCACAAGGGGGGATATGGTTAGATAATAATGCATTTGAAAATGCTCCCCTTGATTAGATTATCCATACCTTTCACTCCCCGCTGAACATGCCACAGATGAATCAAGAATGAAGTGGTGACTGCAATATTGGTATACGCCCACCCACATCCTTAGGCAGGTGTGGATAGCTTCCCCACCCTCTGCCCCCAATTGCTGGGAACTGCTTGTGTCTCTTTTCATCTATTTTCAATGGACACACTGCCAGGTAATGCAGAACGAGCCTGCAATGAGCTCTTATTTTTTGAATGGAGCCAGTTTCTCAAGAAGTTAGTTTGTTAGTGTTGTTAATGTTGTTTTCTGGATTATGAGTGATGTAACGCTTTGTGGATTTCATAATATGACTTTTCTTGAGGTTGTGCTGTTTAGCTTATTTTTTTGTTTTTGTTTTGTTAACAGTGCTTTATAGAAGGCGGTTGTTTTGCTTATGATTTGTAATTGATTTACTGATGATTTGTTAATTATTTTATATGGTTTATGTTGTAATTGTGATGTTCTTTTGTATTATTGTTATTTGTTTTTGGAAGCTTTGTGACTTGTGTGATGTGAAATGAAATGAAGTGCTCCTTAGGGGCAAAAAACAAATTGCAGCAATTAAAACTATTAGCAGGATTAGAATGACACTTGTAGTTAAAAGTTGGACTATGGTTTTATGGAAGATTTAATAGAATTGGATTAACAGAGAAGATGCAGGAGAACATAAGGCCCACAAAACAGGAGGAGGGAAGTCAAAGGGGATTTATGGATATTGTCTTATTTATTTTCTTTATGATTGTTTGTAAATCTGAAAACCCAAATAAACTTAATTATTTTTTTGCAGTTGATCTAGATTGTGCATTGACTACACAGGAAAAAAGACAAGTGCTCTCCATTGGTTCTAGAATAAAATGTGTGTGCATAGCCTTTGTTGCTATAGCATTCTCATTGTGGCTGAATGATCTTTGGGGAGCTCTGCATGATGAGGTGGGAAACATTTTTCAGCCCAAAGGATGCCTTTATATCTGGGTAGCCTTTCAGAGGCCACAGGCCAGTGCAGAGAGTGGGGAAGCAAAAGTGAGTAGAGCAATAAATCTAAATTTTAACATCGTACAGTAAACTAGCTTCTATGTACACCAACACACCCTTCCTTGTTAGTTGCTTTGTACAAAAAAAGGAATGCTTCAAAGCAAATTGGCAACAAAATAATATACGGACTGATAAAACCAATTAAAAGCCAAATTTAAAGTGACCTACAATACGAAATTCCTAAAATGCTCATCCATCAATACAGCAAGAAGGACAAATGCTAACCTACCCATGGGCAGTACCAGATGGGGGGTGTTTGTGCAAGTACCCCCTGCAATTTCCCCCCTCATTGCTGTACTCTATCATTAACTGCCCTTCCTGTGTCCCCTCACATCCCCCCCCCCCCGATGGCATCACTGAACCCTCTCCATTAAAAGACAAGCACCACTGTAGAGGCTAAGTTGACCACAAAAGCCTGGGTAAACTAAAATGTCTTCGCTTAGTGCCTAGAAGCTGGCAGCAATGGTGCCAGGCATGTTTCCTGAGGGAGAGCATTCCAGATGGGGACCTAGAGGCAGGATCCATTTCACAATAAATCATCCGTGAAATGAAATGAGGATGTGAAGCAGCTCTAATCTGCATGGATATTTTGTCCATTATAAGCAATTCCCATAATTTGTCAAACCACCTTTTTAATAAGTGGTCCCTGGCGGTATTTCCATCGCAAAGGCAGTTGAAATTTGGTTGTTTTGGAGTGGAACCAGAATGTAATAAATCCTTCAAATTCTGTGTAGAATCATTTGCATAAACTCCTTGCCATGGCTTTTAGTTCCTTCCCATGCATTAGCAATGTGCAGGGCAAAAGAGCAATCTTGATGTGATCATACGCATGATTGCATCAGTATTCCCTTGGTGCAGAGTACAAGATGCAGGCATGCACTTTTATGCATGGTTAAGACTGCATAAAAAAACCAATGCTGTACACTTTTGCTTGAATAAATATTAATTCTGTGTGCTTTAGAACTCTGTGTGTGTGTGTGTGTGTGTGTGTGTGTGTGTGTGTGTAAAATGCTACACACACACACACACACACACACACACACATATCAATGCAGTTTTAAGCAAGATGGCTTTTTATAGTGTTTTAATGATGCACAATGGCTCACCTGTAGATGGTAGGAAGGAGGCTATGGAAGAATGTTGGCGTGTTTTGTGGAGCACTGCCTGGGAAAGGTTGCTTTTGCTGATGGTGGCCAGTCTCACTTTCCTGAGATGTACGCACACAAATGCACACATGCAAATGGAAACACACATTTGCCATGTGCGCATATTGCAGGCTCATATAAAATATCCATTTAATACATATATTGTGTGCTCTGAAAAACTGCCAGAGGATCTTTGTGCAACCAGCAGGGGGTGAGCTAAGCTCACAGAAATCCTTTCTAGTTCATTCAAGGTTGTTGGTTGTGACTGAGAAAGGTAAAGGGGATTAATTTTTCTTATTACAGCAGCTTCTACCAGTGCAATCAGTTGGACACTGAGTATAAGGAAAACTTATCATCTGACTGCTCCCAAAGCAGATAGTACCAGGTTGCAAATCCAGATTGCTTAGCCTCCTGTATTGGGTTGTGGCAGACTATCATTAGGTGGAGATACACCACAAACATTCAGTCCTGCCTTTGCACAGACTGTTGCCCATTTACACATGTGCACTGCAACATACTAGCCTCTTGAAATGAAACTTGCACATAGCAAGTAATCTGAGTGAACTCAACTACATTATTCCTCTCTCTCAGGTCTTTCAGGCAACCTGTTTGTTGAGCATTCATCCTGGCTTGTTTGTGCAAAAATTGCAGGGAGGTTGTAAAGAGCCACTGTTTGCTGAACATTCATTCTGATTTGTTTGCACAGAGGTTGTTATAACCTCACCTAGCGTTGCCAGAAATTCCAGTGCATTTTCCCATCACTTATCTTATCGCAAAAACATCAGGGTTTTTGTTTTTTTAAGTAAGTTTGTAGCACAAGAGCACCTAAGCCAATGCAAATTTGCTGGTATAGGTAAAGGTAAAGGGACCCCTGACCATTAGGTCCAGTCGTGGCCGACTCTGGGGTTGCGGCGCTCATCTCGCTTTATTGGCCGAGGGAGCCGGCATACAGCTTCCGGGTCATGTGGCCAGCATGACTAAGCCGCTTCTGGCGAACCAGAGCAGCACACGGAAATGCCGTTTACCTTCCCGCCAGAGCGGTACCTATTTATCTACTTGCACTTTTCACGTGCTTTCTAACTGCTAGGTTGGCAGGAGCAGGGACAAAGCAACGGGAGCTCACCCCGTCACGGGGATTCGAACCGCCGACCTTCTGATCGGCAAGTCCTAGGCTCTGTGGTTTAACCCACAGCACCACCCGCGTCCCTTATATACTACTTGCTGGTAGTATATCACATATTCATACTCGCAAGATAGTGACAGTCTGGAAACTGCCACACTCTCTTTCTTGCAGCTTATATTTAGTGTTGGCGTGGTTGATATTTCCTGAGTGTCTTGGAGTGAGGGGACACTGAACAGCCACAGAACTGCCATAGTGCAGTTGTGTCTCAAGTCCAGCCCATGAAATGTTGTCGCCTGAGACAAAGGAGAAGGATGCCTCCTGCCCGCTTTGTTCCATATATAGAAGCCAACTGGCCTGGCAGTCGCTTGGACACCTGCTGAATGGATCAGCTTCATCCACTACACCGGAAACAGCAAAAGAAATCAGGTCAAAAGAGGGGAATAGGTATAGAGCACAGAGGGGACATATGTTGCCTGAGGTGGTTGCCTCACTTTGCCTAATGGTAGGTTCAGCCCTATTCATGTCACTGCTATATCGTATCATACGCTTCTGTGCTTCTGTATCACAAAATCCGCTGCTGGGTTCCCCCTTTTGTCTACCTTTAGAGTTGAGCGAGAGGATTCAGTTTAGTCTTGGATACCTGCCCTCCCATCATTCCTACGCTCTGCCACCCAAGGTGTTTCTGTCCTTTGCTTTTGCCATTGCAGTGCCCTCTTACCAGCTGGAGCCTACATACATACATACATACATACATACATACGAAGCGTTATTCTTATAAATGTCTCATCAGTTGATGAGAGAGTTGAAAATCGGTTCCTTCCTTCTTCCTTTTGAATACAGCAGTGGGACATCTCTGTAAAAAGGGTGTCTATGTGTGTGCACATGGCAGTGGTCTGCAGGTTGAAAGCAGCGTATCAGTATATGGTTGGTCCTGGGACAGGGATACTTTTGGAAGTGTATGAGTGACACACAGCCTGTGAGTTGCTGACTTGCATACCTCTTGCAGTCAGCCTCTAAGATGGCACAGGCTTGTTCCAGTTCTGGCTGGTGCTCCTTGGCACTGGTAGGGCAGAAGGCTGGGAGGCCAACTGTAGGTGGCGCCAGAGCCAATGACAGGCAGAGCCAGCTAATTCTGATGCCCTCCCACCCATTCTCCTCCCTGCTGAATTCTACAAGGGCAACACTGAGACTAAGGAGGAAGAAGCTGATGGCTTGTGCCACCCCCTCGACTGGATGTATTTAAGAAAGCAGGCAGGTATGGCAGACAAAGGGCAGACTGAGGTGGGTGGGGGCAGTGCTCCATCTGCCCAAATGAACCAACCTTCTCTACTTATTTTTGCTTCAGAGGGTTTGAAAATTGCAGGGAGGCAAGTTTTGGTTAAACTTTCCAACAGTATCAGCTGTTCAACAGTGGAACTGGCTGCCTCTGGAAGTGGTGGGCTCTTAATGTGAGGCTGGACGGCTGCTAAGGATGCTGTAGTTGCCAGATCTTGCACCAATGTCCCTTGCAACTCAGTTCAATGAGCTTTTGCTGCTAAGTTCCTCTGGAAAGAACCTGTGCGTAGCTTAGCCAGTACAGCATGAAACTATTAATCTCAGGGTCATGGGTTTGAGCCTTATGTTGGGCAAAAGATTTCTTGGAGTTCCCTTCCAGCTCTATAGTTCTATGGTTCTATGAAGGAGATATGTGAATGCTGAACCATTAATTCCAGACTCTTGAAATAAGTGTACAGGGAACTGAGAAGATGTGGGGAATCTCAATATCTTTCTTTAAGATTCTATCTCTCTTTGTGTGTGTGTATGCAGGCCCCCTGCCCTGGGCTTTATTTGGGAGGAAGAGTAGGGCAGAAAACAAATAGGAAAAATAGGAAGCTTCCTTGTACCGAGGCAGACCATTGGTCTACCTAGCTCAGTATTGTGTACACTGACTGGCAGCAGCTCTCCAGGGTTTCAGGCAGGGCTTTCTCCCAGCCTTACCTGGAGATGCTAGGGATTGAACCCGAGACCTTATGCTTGCAAGGCAGGTGTTCTGCCACTGAGCCACAGCCCCAAACAATAGAATATCCTAGCCTCTTTTCCTCCCCCGCTGATGCTTTCCTCCTGTTTCCTCCATAGGCACTTCCCAACTGGATGTCCAGCCTGTTCCCAACTTCCCAATTCCATGAGCTGACAGAAAGTTAACAGGTGGGGAACCTCAGCCAGGTTCGTTTCTTCTTTCAGTGGCTGATTTTGGAGGAAATTTAGACAACTCTGTCTCTGAACACAGTAGCACTTGGTGGGGAGGATTCTATCCTGGCCTCAGAGGCCTTGGTAGAACTGGAGCAGATTATGTGTGCGCCCTTAATCCATGGAGCTGGTGGTACCAGCAGTCCTCTAGTGCCTTATATAAATTACCTCTCGTGCTTTCCAGCTCCTGTTTCATGTGATACTGATTGCAGGGGTTTTGTAGTAGAATCTCACGCAGGATTTGGAAAGAGTGTGTGTGTTGAATCTGGAGCTGGTGGCAGCAGCAGTCAGGTCAGCAGGAGCCCCTTCCTAATGCGTAGCTAACATTTCAGCCTCAGTGAATGTTCAGAAAGTGCAGTTTGCATTGTATCCCCCTTTCACTTGCATAAACAGCTGATTAAATTACTTCCTACATCTATGGATGAGAACAGGGAGGAAGAGAAGAAGGGAGAGGGAGAGGGAGAGAAGGGGGAAAACATGGATTGAGATCCACTGGAGGGGACCACTTGCGTTATGAATATTATTTCTGAAGATAACCATGTTAGAAATCCTCAATTTTCAGGGTATCCTTTTTTTTGCTCTGAAGGACAGATCTGGTTAAAATGTTTTTAGGCAGTGCTTCTAGATCAGGAGTAGCTAGATTAAATCAAAAGGCACATCTAGGCCAGCTTTTTGTTCTCACAGTGGCCAGCCAGAAGCCTCTGCTGGGCTCACAGACAGGAACTTTATTTATTTAATTCATTGCATTTATAAGCCCACCTTTTCCTCCAATGAGCTCGAAGTGGCGTACATGGTTCTCCCTTCAATGAATCCCCTAGCAGCCCTATAAGGTAGGTCAGGATGGTGACTGGTCCAAGGTCACCCAATGAGTTGCATGGCTGAGTGGAGATTTGAACCCTGGTCTCCCAGGTCCTAGTCCAATACACTAACCACTACACCACACCAGCTCCCACAATGTGATATGAGAGCAATAGCTCTCTCCTGCTGCTGTTCCCTAGCTAGTAGTGTTCAAAGGCATGCTGCTTAGGGTTGGAGGAGGACTAACCTTCTTTTTAAAGCCATCCAAGTTGGCAGCCATCACTACACCTTGTGGTAGTGAATCCCATCATTCAGTCATGCACTGTGTGAAGCATAGGGGTAGGTGACTCATGTCAATTTCGGTTTCTTACAGTTTCTCATTTTTCAGTCTTTAGGTTTGTTCTCTGCATATCCACATCCATTAGTGTTTTGTTTCGTTGTGAAAAAGAAGCCCTCCTGAAAATAAATAAGCAATTTAGTGCAAAATTCTCCTAAAATACACATTTGGTTATGTTGTATTGCCTAATACACACATTTTTGCAAAGCAACTCCTCCAATGTCATTTTCACTAATCTTTGAATTTTTCTGCCACCTTTACACCTTTTAAATACATATTACATGACTGGAAAGCTGCAGTGCAATATTCTGAAAAGTGAGAATTTCAAAGTTTGGCTGTATTTTGGTTCCCATGTTGTTTTGTAAACTTGTGAAATCGGTAGATTTGTCTTTAAATACAAACTGAATGGAATTTCTCCCCCCCCCATCCTTATTTGGATTGTATTGTTAATGAACTACTAATAAATTTATAATAATTTCAGTTGTAGATTAATAGTTCCTATTCTCTTTTTTCCTGGACTGGTATCTTCTGTCTTCTTTCTTTCTTTCTTTCTTTCTTTCTTTCTTTCTTCTTTCATAAATCATTAGAAGGCACAATAGAGTCCCTGGATTCTAGCTACAACCCTGAGAAGAATAGCTTCTTCTTCTTTTAAATGCAAGTTTGTAGTCCTGGTAGCTGCAAGTATATTTGGAAAAAATACATTGCGAAAAGACTTACAGTTTTGTCAGAGACGAAGTAAGACATGGAAATGACAGCTGCCCCTCCACCCCATGGTTATAAGTTCTGGCAACCAATGTGCCACCAATTTGGGAAAGAGACTCTTACATTTTTCAGACTGGCTTGTCTGATGAAGCCATCATCTATCCTTCATACACATGGTTTTTGTATTTCATGCTTACTCAGAAGTAACTCCCAAGTACGTGTATATAGAGTTGCAGCTTAAGACTGCAGTCCTGTATCTACTTACCTTGGAGCAAACCTCAACAATGTAAATTACTGGAGAGAGGGAACCTGTGGCCCTCCAAACTTTGCTGGACACTGATTTCCATCAACTCAGATCACTGACCATGATGAGGCTGATGGGAGTTGGAGTCCAACAGATTTCTGGAAAACCACAGCTTTTTCAGAACTGGTGCAGTTGCTGAGTGGGGTTCTTAATAGATGGTTTCAAATGCCATTCCCCTCCCCCCGCTAGCTGGTGTCTTAAGAATTGCTAGACTGAGCCAGACCAAAGTTCCATCTAGTACAGGCAGTTCCATCTAGGACAGTCAGGGCTGGTTCCAGTCTTGGCAGAGTGCCTCCCATGGACTCCTTTGTATATCTGTGCCTTCCGCTTTGGTAACGCAACAATGAGCTACCATTTTAACCAGGGGTAGGCAACCTAAGGCCCATGGGCCAGATGCGACCCAATCGTCTTCTCAATCCGGCCCGTGGACGGTCTGGGAATCAGCGTGTTTTTACATGAGTAGAATGTGCGCTTTTATTTAAAATGCATCTCTGGGTTATTTGTGGAGCATAGGAATTCATTCATTCCCCCCCCCCAAAAAAATATAGTCCTGCCCATCACATGGTCTGAGGGACGGTGGACCGGCCCATGGCTGAAAAAAGGTTGCTGACCCCTGATTTTAACTCTCTCATAAATGCCCTGGAATGCTCCAGTAGGGGCCACCATTTAAAAATCCCACAATGTCTAAGAAATTTAAAATGGCCGTTTGTAGTTGCTTGCCACCTAGCAAGGAGGCTAGAAGGAAGGCTTTAGTGCCAATGGGGCCCTGGCAGCTTCCTGATGATGCCAGGTCCTGGTGCCAGTCATGGAGATCTTTATTCTTTTATGGGTTTTTTTTTACCTTCAGTATCTGGTCATCAGAGAGGATTTACTGCACCTGAATGTGGTGACCATTCCTTGCTAACTTACTTGTCACCGATCGAATTCGTGTGACTCTTTTAGAACTTTTGACTGTTGTAGCAGCATTTGCAACATCCTGTAGTTCTGTATGGTGAGAAGGAGGAAGCATCTGGCTGTTGATTCCAGATCCTGAGCGTGCAGCAAAACGAAAGTAAGCTAAAATATCTGTCAGATCCAGGTCTGTGCTCGAAGGCTGACCACATGTGGAATGCTCAGTTCAGCCTCAGGCATGTTGAATTCTCCCCCATGCATCCGCAGAGATTTGTGTTTGTCACATGGCACCAAATCCGCGATAGTGTGACTTTTCGAGTCCTACGATGTGATCATTTCATTGTTGTCGACAGATCATCTCATAGTTTTATCTTGATCGTGAGCATATATTGCTTGCTAGGAGACTATAGGTGGTGTGGCTTTCCTTGTGGTTTAGATCATAGCAAACGGAAGGATAGCACATCATGGCTAAAGGCTAAGGTTAAGTTTTGCCATGATGACTGTTTTAAAGGGAGCAATGCTCCCAAAGAGAAAAGCTGAGGTAGAATGTGAGATAGTGCTTTTCTAGAACACAGTGCCATGGGTCCATAGAGAGCTAGTGTGGTGTAGTGGTTAAGAGCGGTAGTCACGTAATCTGGGGAACCGGGTTCGCGTCTCCGCTCCTCCACATGCAGCTGCTGGGTGACCTTGGGCTAGTCACACTTCTTTGAAGTCTCTCAGCCCCACTCACCTCACAGAGTGTTTGTTGTGGGGGAGGAAGGGAAAGGAGATTGTTAGCCGCTTTGAGACTCCTGAAGGGGAGTGAAAGGCGGGATATCAAATCTAAACTCTTCTTCTTCTCTTCTTCATAGGTGGCTCTATGAGAAGGTGGGGAAGATATTTCAGCCTGAGACTGTGTTCCCTCGTGGGCAACCTCCTGGGGGCCACATCCTGGTGATGGGTGTGGCTGCAGGCCAAAATTGGGTGGAGCCACAGGTGGGACTCTTGCCTTGGTGCAATAAGGCAGGCTCAACATAGAGGTTTCTAAACACAAAGTGGCAAAATAAGAGGACATACTGGGCAGAGGCGCTCAGGGAGGGAATGGAGCGGGGCCAGTGAGTGGTGTGGTGTGGGGAAGGTCCCAAGGGCCAGGTAGAAAGTCCTGGAGGGCCACATCTTGCACCCGAGCCTGAAGTTCCCCTACCCTTAAATGGCTCTTTGTTTGAGTGCCCCCTATGTGTGCAAAATGTCCCCACCGTCTTCTCCAAGTCGTGCTGAAAAAGACCACTTCCTGCACCCTTGTAGAGTTGCTGCCAGTCAGTGTAGGGAATACTGAGCAAGACGCGCCATGAGTCTGAGTCAAGGCAGCTTCCCATGTACACAGCCTGTGG